CCCCCCCCCTTCAAAAAAAAAAAAAAGCCAATATTTTTTGTACAGTCTTGCCAAATATTTGCTTATGAACTTAACTCTTTTCCAATCTAATGTGCCTCTTTCATGTTGGTGTAGGGTTTTTATATTGGCCGCAGGATGGATTTTATTCTTTTCAGCTTTTTTTCCTGTACATTTCCTATTGGCAGGGCATAATAAGTGGAGGCGAAAGATAGAGGTAGGGTTGATAACCTTTCCTGTTGTATCTAGAAATTGCTGCATTCGCCTTTTTTTATTTGTTCTGTTTAGTCTAAATCAGCTAATTCATTGGTGATACTAACAATTTGTGTATATGTATTATTGAAAGAAATTTGGAGTCTACAAAGATGATTAGTTGTATTCATGTCTTTTGCATAATGTATCAGTCACACTTAATTTCTAATTTTACGAATCTTAATCTCTTTTTGCAATGTATCATAATTTTTCAATAAATGCTGGAAAGGTTTTTTTGAACTAGTTTCTTTTCTTATTCTTTATCTAGAGAAAATTGGTGGAAATGATGTGCAGCATCTTTGTTGCTTCATGGACAGGGGTGGTCAGGTATCATGGACCTCGGCCTAGCATGCGACCTCAACAGGTGTTTGTTTTGAAGCTAAAAAAGAATATTTATGGCTAGAGTCCAGACACTTACCAGTCTTTTATCATCTATAATGTCATTCAGAATTATTATCATTTGTCAGGTATTTGTTGCCAATCACACTTCGATGATCGATTTCATCATTCTAGAGCAGATGACAGCTTTTGCAGTTATCATGCAAAAACATCCTGGATGGGTCGGTAAGGATTCATGTAGTTCATTTTCCACATGCTTTTTAACAGTGTGATTCTTGGGTCATATACATTTTACACAGTTGCTATTGAAATTTTTAAATTTGATTTCACGGTGCAGGATTTATCCAGAAGACCATTTTGGAAAGTGTAGGTTGTATCTGGTTCAACCGTACAGAGTCTAAAGATCGTGAAATTGTGGCCAGAAAGTAAGGATTATCTCATGTAAGAATGTTAATCTCTATGCATAGTCGTAGTCTGTAAATGATGGAACTTCTGTTTTCCAGGTTAAGAGAACACACTCAAGGAGTTGACAACAACCCTCTTCTGATATTCCCAGAAGGAATTCCAGGTTAAGAGAACACACTCAAGGAGTTGACAACAACCCTCTTCTGATATTCCCAGAAGGAACCTGCGTAAACAATCAATACACACACTCAAGGAGTTGACAACAACCCTCTTCTGATATTCCCAGAAGGAACCTGCGTAAACAATCAATACACTGTGATGTTCAAAAAGGTCACTATCTTATGTTCTTGCCTTGGTTAGTAAAATTGGATAGAAACTTTTATTTTTTTGGCTGGAAACTTGCTTCAACATATGGATGTTCTCATTGATCTTTTCTGACAATTAGGAATTTTGCTCAGCTGCTTTGGAAATCAGAAACTTTACTCTCCGCCTTCCCTATCTAACTCTCTCTGTCTAAATTTCCTCCTCCTAGGACACATCATCTTCCTAGCCTCTTTCCATCAAATTGGGATGAGTAGGGAGCATAACACTCTTAAATAGAACTTTATAACCAGCTTGATGAACTTCATTTCTGGCTGGTTCATAATTACTTGCAAGAAAAGCATGGACAGAGATACAGGATTAAGTGAATGGCATAGTCTGCCTTCTAATGGCCCATAATTACTGGCAAAAAAAATACAGGAAAGATAAACATGACCACAAAACGATAAAGTCTGGTTAGCAAGAAGGAAAACCTACTTTTAGTGGTGTCCCTGTTTGTCCAACCTGGGAGCTCTTTTAGAAAGAATGATTCTAACAAAGCCAGAGGGAAGTACTGAAGTACAATCAACTCTAATATCCATACAAACTAAAGAACTGACCAAACAAACTTCTCTAGCTAGATGAGTAACTTTGAAATCAAAGACTAATTATTAATGGTGTCCACGTTTGTCCAACCTAGGAGTTCTTTTAGAGATTCTAACAAAGCTAGAGGGAAGTACATTCAATTCTAATGTGCGTCCAAACTAAAGAACCGAACAAACAAAATTCTCTTGCTAGATGAGTAACTTTGAAATCAAAGATTAATTATTTATGGGCCAAGTTTGTCCAACCTAGGAGTTCTTTGGGGAAGAGAGATTCTAACAAAGCTAGAGGGAAGTACATTCAACTCTAATGTGCGCACAACTGAAGAACTAAACAAACAAAATTCTTTTGCTAGATAAGGAACTTTGAAATCAAAGACTACTTGTTAGCAAGAGAACCATAAAACAAGAGAGCTATAATTTTATAGGTGGAAATAAAAACCTGATCTAATAACCTCTTCATATATCTTACTAAACATGATCTTATTATCATGCAAACTAAAGTTTACATCGGTTTCTTACCTTCACTCCGTTCCCTTCAAATAATGATACGTTGACTACTAAAAAATATGAATTATAAAGGATTTTGTTTTCTTTTCACATTATAAGTGGAAGGTTTTCACATATAAGTAATTTGAACAGTTTCTGGTCTCCATTTTGACAGCCTATGCTTCGTTCCCACATTGCTTTCATGGGTTTGTAGTTTAAAGTTAAAGGAGTCAGGAAGCTATTAGAGTTGCAGTTCATGTTCTTAAGTCTTAATTTTATCTGCACATTGGTTGGTTTGTTTATGCTACACCCCCACTAATCCAATGGATTCTGTATTATCATTCAATTATCAAGCATGCAGAGTTATATTGAGCATGCAGATTCTGATGGTTTGAAGAGGAGTGATGTTTCTGATCTTTACATTTGGCCTTGTTACAGGCATACTAGATCACTTCATCTTCCTAGATGGTACAATATTTCCCCCCTAAAAATAGGTGTTCTACGAGCATCCCTTTAGGAAGGCCTGGATCTTCCCAATACCCTGTCTCCTCTTATCACTGACCAATAACCTGTTGGCGGTGTGACTATTGCGAGCTCACTTTTATTTGACATAATGCCCAATCTACACTGTTTCACACTTGATTTATCCTGGTGGAATATGAATATTTTTACATCACCAATTGTATATAGAAATAGCACAGATACGAAAGTGGTGGTTGTTTCTTTAAGCTCCAATGGTCTGCAGAAAGTTGGCAAATTTCTCCCTTCCTGAGTGTTGTTTCCATTTCCTTGTGAAACAAATACCGAATTTTGTTCATATTTGTAGGATTTTATAATTTTATTTTGGAAAAATTTGCAAAATAGACCTATTTTGCTAAATACTTAGCAAAACAGATCGTTTTGCTAAACAGACCATTTGAAACATACGGGACTAGTAGTATGATTTAATCCCCTATTAAATCATACGGGACTACTAGTCCCGTATGTTTCGAATGGTCTGTTTTGCAAAATCGACCTATTTTTGGCCTGTTGGCCAAAAAGAGGTCTATTTTGCTAAATATTTAGCAAAACGGTCTGTTTTACTAAATATTTAGCAAAATAGGTCTATTTTGCAAATTTCTTCTTTTATTTTACTCATCTGTTGTACGCTATTTTCTTACACTTGATAGTTCCCTTAACTTATATTTAATACATGTGATATGTGCAGGGAGCTTTTGAACTTGGTTGTGCTGTCTGCCCGATAGCTATTAAGTACAACAAGATTTTTGTGGATGCATTTTGGAATAGCAAGAAGTAAGATATATCACCAAACTCTGTTTAAAGTTTCATAACTTTATCTGTTATTTTTTAAAGCACTTTCTCAATTACAAGTATTACCCTTTCTTTACTATATAACATATCTTTGATTGATAGTTTTGAATTTAAATGTCTTATTTTAGAGCCTATAGGATTTTTTGCCTTAACAGTTCATCTAATCCATCAAGTTGAGAATTCTGTATGTTTGAAGCTTTTTATGTGGCCTTGTATGTCTCTCTTCTTCTATATAATGGGTCCATAGGTCACTGAAAGCTGACAAATTGACTAGGGCTAGTTGCCAATTTCTTTTACTATTATTGCTCCTGCATCCTAAGATAAAAAACCTTCCTATTTGCATTTATACTGGAGTTGCTAAAATTTCTACTTTTGTTTCTAGCATCGTAAGATAAAGAAAGTTCCAGACTTCCTTCGGTATCAATAAAATTCTTACCAAAAATGCCATCAGCCTGTTTCAGTGATCATATTATTATCATTATATATATTTTTGTATGTATGAGCTACTCATGAATATATGTATTTGCAGGCAATCTTTTACAATGCATTTAGTCCGTCTTATGACATCATGGGCTGTAGTCTGTGATGTTTGGTACCTTGAACCTCAGTTCCTAAGACCCGGAGAAACACCTATTGAATTTGCAGAAAGGTATACTCTTTGTGGTTATTCAATTGAATACCATCTGCTTGTGAGGCTAAATATTTTTTATGATTATTTCAATTGGGAACCATATTTAGAAAACACATTTGACCTTTGGGGTATACTATTTAGGGTTCGAGACATGATTGCTGCTCGGGCTGGTCTCAAAAAGGTCCCCTGGGATGGATATCTAAAATACTACCGCCCAAGCCCCAAGCTTACAGAACGAAAGTATGCAAACTTTTGTCTCCATGTTTTCCGTACAATATATCTTTGAAATTTCTCTTTCAATATACCAACAGTAATGATACTTAGAGGATTTTGATTTCTCTGTAAATTTAAGATGCTCAGTTGCTCCAAAGATCACCTGTCTTTTGGTTCTTTGTTTGTGTGCGAATGGTGGGGGTTCAAAACGAGGGATATTTGCAACAGGCGACATAGTACCCTTGTTCTTCATTATAATGTATTTTGATCATATAAGAGGGGCTAACTGCAACATAACTTGATCATAATTTGTACATTGCATTTGTGGTAGTTAGCGAGATGGCTGGTTCTTCGTCTTTGATAAGTAACTCTCTATGTATTTCAGGCAGCAGAACTTTGCAGAGTCAGTGTTACGGCGGTTGGAAGAAAAATGAGAGCTATCTTTTTGCATCAATTACTCATCTTTAGAGGTTAAGCGCAGAGTTTTCTTTAGGCTGCTACTACTGTACTATCGTGTGATAGTTCTAGGAGAAGGCTAGTATGGAAAATTTTAGGATACTACTGTACCTCCTTGTTGTTTAATTGTACAGTAAAATTCAACGCAGAGCAGTTGAGCATCTAGTAATCTGTTTTGTTCTCATTGTGTTGGATGTTATCTACCGTCTGAATATTTGTCGAGGGATTAATGCATGTACTAAGCAGTTTTCTTTGAGGTTAACATTCAATTCTGGCGTGTGATCTCAAAGCTTCATTCTTTGAAATGTTCTTCTGAACTTTTAACTTGTACCAGCATATGGGAACAGGAAAAGGCCATTTCCTCCTTGCTTGAGCTACTAGTTTTAAGTTAGGTTAATAAAGTTTACTGATGTATTTACATTTAAGCTTTCATTCTTCAATATGAGAACTGACTACATGATAACAACCTTTATTGAACCTGTCTGTTCTCGGAAATGGCCAGTTGACATATAATTTGCAGCAGTTATCTCGAAAGAGCATATAGTCAATCTAAAAAGTTACATCTCGCACATGAGAAGAAAAAACTCGAAAAAATAACAATAGCAAAAATCAGTCTAAATACGAAATGCAATGTCGAACCAACTTATTTTTTCACTCATACTTCATAAACAATCCTCTTCTTGACCTGAGCAATTCCCTTCTCGTTGCTCTGCCACCACCGATCTCTTACCCTTACCCGACAAGTCCTCCTCCCTGCATTGTTCAGCCACCCATCTCTCTACCACGTTCTCTTCAACACTGAATTTATCCAAACAAGACGGCGAACTCAAATCACTCCCGTTCTTATTCACACTAAGAACCAACAACGTCTTCGCCACACTCCCACATACTCGAAGCCCACATTGCAAATCCGACCACACTCTCAACCTCTCGTTACTCCCGTCATCATCATCACCTTCTGTCATAACAATCACCACAAACTCTGAATGCACAAGGGCTGGATGATGTCGATACGCCACAAAATCCCCTCCATACTGAGTCCCCGACCTGACTACCCAATTCTTCGCTCGTAAATTCTCGTAAGCCTTGTATTGCTCGGGGAATTTCGCTTTCTTGGATTTCATGTACTCCCACAATTCAACATTGTCTACTTTGCAATCTTTGTCGGTTACGATGGTGAGAGCATGGAGGTTTTGGTTAAGGAAGAAGGTCTCTTCGAGAGTGAACTGAAACCATCGTTTGGTTTTGTTGTGGGCGGTGATTTCACGACCGAAGCATGACCGGTTGAGCAAGTCTGCAAGGTCTGGCGTGGCTTCGAAGAGTGCGGTTTGGTTGGAGAGCATTGCTTGTGCATTGGATAGTGAGAGAGAGGATTGGAATTGGGCGATGATTTGTGACATGGGATTGGATTTGGCAGTGGATGCCGTGTTCTTTCCCTTCCATCTTGTACCCATTTTGGTATCTTCTATCTGCTCATCCCATTCAAATAACGAAGAAATTGTGTTAATGAACTCGTTCTCTCCTGTAACCTTAGGAGGTCTCTTCGTAAAAATAATTTTCTCTTTCTCTGAAGGTAGAAAAGTCAAAAAAATTTCACTCAGGAGGGTCCATCTGCAATTATATAACTACAGCGGGTCTACCAGGCTGCAATAAACCCTTAGTTTTAACTATTATAAATACATTTAACAGATCCTAACAAGTTTAAATTGTAGGAAAACTTTATAAAATGCGGGCATCAAATAACTTAAATTTGCCAATGAAATGCATGTACTCGAGGTCTATATCAAAATAAAGCGGCTGCAACTTGGAAAAAAAAATTGATCATTTGAAAGTACTACATTACAAATATCTTCTCACCGAATAAATTGTGAACAAGTCATGAATGGTTAATGTGTCAATCGCGAAATTCTGCAAACAAAGTAACTTTAAGCCATCATCTTAAAAAAAGAGATGTTAAAGAGATGACAATGATTATCAAAGTAGTCTCGATCAACATACGAGTCATGAATGTTGGGCATTTCAACAAACAGTTGACGGGTTAGAGTTATGAAAGTAAAAATAAACTGCAGTAACGCTACTTACCTCAACTGAGCGATGAGAAAACGTACGAAGCTTAAGACGAAGGATATGAAATTCTTATTTTTCCCCCTCCCCTTTTTTCCTTTTGGGTGCGTCTTTGTGGATCGATTGTGTTCGATGGAGGTAAGCGTTTGTTGTAAAAAGCCCACTAAAGAATGAAAATATTCTGTTTGTTGAAATACAACCACTATTTGTACCGAACTACTTGAAATTATACCAAAGCTAAAATTAAGAATAAATAATCTATGCCTATGAAGGGTCGAGATTTAGAGGCGATATGAAATATTTGGCGATTACCGAAATACGAACCTTTTTATTTTTATCACCAATTTTGTTTGATACGGTATTCCAAGTTTCTCAAAAAATTACACGGCTAGTGTTGGAGATTATTTGTAAATCTAAAATTGTTGAACTAATCACCATTTATTTTATGGTTACGTAACACCTGATGATGAGAATCTCTTGTGTGGATTAATACCTATTTTATGATCATGCCAACACCCGATGATGAACATCTCTTTTGGATCTAACATCAGATCAATTATAATTAAATGCAATAGTCTTAAGATGATAAACATCTCTTTTCGTTCTGATATTTTGAAGGTTATGTAGTGTTATCTCATAACACTCCAAAGTTAAGTTTTCTTTTTTTCCTTTTTTTAACCTTAGCCTAATAATACATATCCTAAATCATAAAAAGAAGTAAAATTAAAGGTGTTTTAGATCAATTAAGTTTTTCCCCTTCTTTTTAAAACTTTAGCCTAATAATGCATATCATAAATTATAAAAAGAACTAAAATTAAAGATGTTCTTAGATGTCAGTTCCTCAAATTCTTGAAATTTATCATAAGCCCTCAATGAACAAAAGACTCCTCAACTTATGTTCTCCCCAGATGCGTTGGTCAAAAAACAGTAAGTGAGGTGCATTTTAGCTTTTGAGGGATCAAATTGCAAGACTCCATAGGATTTAAGGGGCTTATGAGCAATTCCAAAGATGGCCAATATTGAATTACAGAAGGAATTGATTCATTAGAAACAGGGCCGGTTCTGAGATTTTAGGGGCCCTGTGCGAAAAGTAAACACATGGCTCTTCTCTATATACAAAATATCAATAAATTTGAGTGCCCGTCATCGGCAAATGTCATCACCTTCCTGCAAGAAATCAACTTCTCTAATAACCACCTTCTTGCTCATCCTCTTTAAATGGTTTCAACTATTTTTGTTTCTTAGAACCTCACGCACATCCAATGACCAAGAAGCCACATTTCCTATGTCCCAAAAAAATAGTAGCATCCCTCTGGTTCTCTACCAAAATAAAGCCTCACTCTCTGCCGAATAAGAATTCAGGAACACTTCAATACTCTTTTAAGAACTCCGGAAATCAGATCATACTCAAGTTATGATTCCATATAAAACACCAAATTTACATCCAGGAGTATCCAAAAGAAAAACCCACGTCCTAAATTACTATTTTGGATGAAATAAATCGACAGAAATTATCATAATGAACAAAATGGATTTTAAAGAACAGCCAAAGCATGAAATTTCTCACCCTATAATAAAAAACAACAGATGAATCATACCGGAACATAGCGAAACTTCCTCTTCGACGGGTCCTCGGGTGTGGCAGGAACTCCATCGTTTTTTGATGGAGAAATCGGGGTCTATTTGTAGAGCTGCTGTAGATCTGAGTCGAGAGATCTTACCGTCGTAGCGCTCGTCTTGCTCCGCGAGCTTGGCGATGTAGACGAACCCCTCTCTCGACGCCATTGGAGATCAGATCTGAGCGGATCTGGCGGTGTCGTGGCAGAGAGAGAGGTCGATTCGATACCGTTTTGGGAGGCGGGTCTTGGAGTTTGGGGGGAGATCTAGTTTGGGGAGGAAGAAGGTTTTTGAGAAAAGGGGGAGAGAGATTTGGTTTGGGGAGCTGGTTTTGGGGGGGAGGAGAAGGGTCACGGAGCTGGAAGCAACCTATTTTACCAAAAAAAAATTGGGCCCCCAATTTTCGGGGGCCCTGTGCGGTCGCACCCTTCGCACACCCTCAGAGCCGGCCCTGATTAGAAATGACTAATGTCTACGTAACCGAAAAATGGAATTACATTAATCACCATGCCCATGAATAGTGAATTAACGTTACAGCCATCAACACCCAACGACACCCTTGCCGCCCACTTCCAGAACTCAACCGGATCCCTTTCTCCGCGGTCATCTACATCCTCAACTCTCAACCTCGCCCCTACTCTCACCTCCCTCCGCCGCTCGTCTTCCCAAACAAAAACCTCAGGCCGTAACCTACTCCACCCGCACCCCTACCACGCCCTTCCTCATCCACTACCACCGCGCGTAAAGCAATCACCGCACTTCTCAGCGGACTTCTTATACCCCCGGTAAGACCCAGGAGCGGCGGCGGTGAGCTTACCTCTGGGGGAGATGGAGATCGAGGGCAATGGGGTCGTGGTAGATGCCCATGTGCTTGTTTTCCTTTTCGATCGATTGGGGATGGAAGGAGGAGGGGAAGGCGGTGAGGTTACCGCTTAAGGAGAGGGAGATGAGGTAGTAGCAGAAACCAAAACAATCGCCGAGAAAGATAAAGAACCACACCAAACAATAGCACAAACACAATCAACACCAGTTTTACGTGGTTCGGCGAGATGCCTACGTCCACGGGGCAAGGAAGGGGGAGTTTTCACTATTAGAAATCAAGGGGATACAACTAGGGTTACAAATCTCTCACCAAAACCCTCAACAAATCACTCTTGATCTCTCCCAATTGCTCCAACAATAGAAGCCCAAGAACTCACCCTCAATGGCGGCTAAAATTCCTTGCATACAAACCCTAAAACCAAATTTGGGTATTTATAGAAAACCCAAACGAAACGGGTCTGGAAAACAGACCAGCCCAAAACCGCTACGGCGGTCGACCGCGATCCATCGCGATCGACTGCCACGGTCGACCGCGTGGGTCGACCTGCCGCTCTCATCCTGCCGCCATCCGTAAAATCGCAAAGAGTTCGGCGGTCGATCCGCGCACAAACAGAAACAATTGCGTGCGACCGCTATGCCGGTTTACCGCCCACCACCCAGAGCCCAGTAAGCCTCGTCACGAATACGTCGACCACGGTGCCGTCGACCGCCCCCCATCTGCTGAACGACCTTAATTCTACCGAAGTTCTAGCAAAATTCCACCTCGTCGAAGATGTCTATCCAAACTGAGCCGACACCGGATCAAACCAATCCTCAAGCTCGCTGCATCCAGTACGCCATGGCAAACGGACTCAGACAACTGGACTCCATCAGGCAGCACTCGAGACCAAACGGCAGTGCGAACACTGTCATCCTCAAACGGCAACTGTGTCTACTGTCAACAAATCGACTGCATCAGAAAACTGACTGTGCCTATGTATCCGTCTCCAAGTGAATAAGCCTTCACTTGTAGTCACGCTTTGGCCCCAAAGCCCTCAATCTCATCTGCGGCTGATAGCATTCATTCAACGACCCCTAAACTGAAGCGATCCGAACATACCTCAAACGTCTGCGGGAAACATGGCCGTATCCCAAACTATCCACCAGCTGCATCCAATCAAGCCACTCATCCTCTGACCATAATAAATAACTCCAACGCGTGGCAACCATCAGCTGGAATCCCAACCAAGTGCAAATGACGCTGTGAGTCTGTGGGAAATTCCGCACCCAATGTGGAGTGCATCAACCTCCAGCCCCGCTGATATCGACCTCTGACCGATCAATATTACTCCGCACTCTGCGCGACGAGTCCAAAGTGACAAACCTGCTCAGATGCCGAACTCTGAAGTGTTGGCCTTCTTGTTTTGATGATGTTTAACAAACAATTTATTACTAATGTTGTTTGTCTAGTGTTTGTGCATTCCTATGTTTTGTAGACAAACAACGTTGTTGGAGGATGGATGGAATAGAGCTTCAACGATCATATCCAAAGGAGGTTGGCGGAATGTCGGTGAAGCCTTGCTATTCAAAGTTCAAGATCCAAGTTCAAGCTTCATCCGCGAGATTACCAAGTCAAGCTTATTGAAGATCAAGATCATTGCTTGGGTAATTTAGTTTAGGAATTTATATTATGTGTGTTAGTACTTTAAGCTCAATCATATACACACATACACGTTTTGGTTTTTGTATATATATAGTTATATATATACATATATGTTTTGGTTTGATAGTTTTCAAGTTTTACTATGAAACAAATGAATAGAATTGGAAAATACTATTTTGTTTCATGTTTATATGCCTATATATGATTTCGTCTTTAACAAGCTTATATCAAATGAAATCATATTTAGTGTTTTGAAAATATTGCATAGAATATGCAATTTTGTGAAAATATTGTATTATTAGTTTGTAGACTTTAATATCAGTTTATACATGTTTTACTAAGTCTATAAAATCATTTTGTAAAGTTTTAAAAGTTGGTTTAGATCTTTTATCAAGTCTATACAATCATTTCATAAGGTTTCAAAATGTTGTTTAAGTCAAAATATCAAAATATCAATTTTCAGGTTTTCATGTTTTGGACTATTTTGCAAAATGATGATATTTCTCATTTGGGAAGTATTTTTAGAAAACCAGTTTTTGTAGCATGTTTATTATCATGTCGACAATCATTCTCCAAAGTTTTACATTTTTTGGAATTTATTTGATATTTTTAAACAGTGTTTTAAAATCAGCTCTAAAACCGATTTTTTTCTGGAATGTCAGTTTTCGGTCGACCGGTACGGTCGACCGGTCTAGTGACCATTCGTCAGTATTTTTCCAGAGAGTCATCGGTCGACCGGTCCGGTCGACCGAGAGCTCAAATCGGTCGACCGACAGAATTTCCGGTCGACCGACGTTAGTCCAGAAAGTTTTCTTCGTGTTTTTGCTCTCATCGGTCGACCGACGGGATTTTCGGTCGACCGACAATGTGACCGTTGGACTTCCAACGGCTATTTCTGAGCTGACTTTTCTGGGGCACTTTGGTCTTTCTGTTTTGGGGTTTTTGCTGATATTTCCTCTTCCTATATATACCCTCATTGCATTCAATTCTATATTAATGAGAATGTTTTAAAAGAGTTTTTAAAAGAGTTTAAAACTTATTTAAGTATTGTTTAAGTTTGTTTAAAAAGCTTTTAAGCATTTGAGAGTTTTAGTTTGTGAAGCAAATTTCACAAGAGCAAAGAGGAGATCATCCTTTGGTGTTTGGGCATTCAACTCATCTCTCTCTCACTCTTGATCTATAGAGAAGTTTTCCTTAAACTCAATTCTAGCTATTTATTGTTTTGATCTTAATTTCCATAAGCTAGATTTCTATATTGAGTTTAAATTGTTTTATTGATACTCTCTGTTCACACACAACCTATTGAGCTTATTGTATTTACATTCATAGTATAATTTTGGGTTGTGAGATTAGTGACTTAGAGTTGTGCTTAATTGAGTTCTCACCTTGTTTAGAGAACAAATCATTTGATTTATATTGTGCTTATTGTGAGGATTCACTTGTAATACACTTGTACACCGAGAGAAGTGTGTGGTGAGAGACGGGGTCGAATCCAAGAGGAGTGGCGTCGGTTGACGTGCCTAGGGAGAGGTTGTAACCGAGCACTTGAGGAGGAGGACACGGGCTAGGACCAACACTTAGTGTGTGAGGTGTGATTACATAGTGATTGTATTGTGAGGTGTAAACGTTGTTCGGGTGAACGTAGAAAACCCGGTTGTGATAGTGGAGATCTCCTCGAGGTGAGGAGCGGGGACGTAGGTCGTGGGGACCGAACCTCGTAAACATATCGTTTTGTTTGTGATTGCATTGGCGTTCTTATTCTTGTTTTCATATCTTATATCGCCTTTGTGTATTGCTCATCATATTACCCTATCACTTGTGTAGATTGTTTATTTTACCCTTGTGTTAGTTCATATATCCTTGCTCATATATTTGTAATATCTCATTGCTAGGATATATCCCTTGTTCATATTGTTTATCCTAGCTCACATATCTTGTTGTATTTTATACTTGCTAGGATAACGTATTAATTAGTTTTTAATTGGCATTTAATCAGATTAGATTAGCATAAGACCCTAATCACCCCCCCTCTAGGGTCTAACATGAAGCTCTCCACTGATAGCCGAACGAGCCTCTGAATCCCAAATGCGCAATCGGATCCAATCTCACATCAACGATGTGACCAAGTGCTGGGTAGCCAAATATCCGACGCCAACCAATAACTGAAGCAGCTTCACCAGATCTAACAACTCTATACGCAGCAGTCGACAACCTCATAAGATGATCCAAACCTGTCGAAGCCTGAATACCAGATCCACTGTTCGACAACCAATGCCGATCCTCCTCCAGAAAAGAACGGCTCACTAAATCCGCCATCTCATCACGTCGCCCCACTGTCTCCTCTCCTCTGAAGTGTCTCCCACTGCCATGAGCTCGGCACCAATGCAAGAAAGGACTCCTACTAGAACAAGTACGACTGGTAACCTTTCTGCCCATACACCTCCTCCAACTATTGCGGACTACTAGGGCTTTATACCAACGGGACTTGGTTGCAACCCAAATATGCCTAGTACAATCCCCAACATAGGAAACAAGATAACGATTACCTCCCGATGATGCCTCCTCGGAAAGTCCCCCAATGTCTGACTGAACACTTCCAAATAAGACCCCTCGATCGATGGATAGAAGTGCTGAACTCCACCTCGGTCTTTTCGATCATCCCAATGTGCTCACAGGACTTCAATCTGCAGGTCATAACACTCCTCAACAATCTGTGCACGGTATAACCAATAATATATCCCAGCACCAAACAATGCCACAGTCTAGCCATAGAAGTAGTCAGCGCCCTATCAACTACCGTGCTCCCAAGCAGATAATACAAGTTACTCCGCCTGACTCCCTTCATCACAATCATGGACCCCGATGTGACCTTCAAGCGAGAATTCGCTAAAGTCACCCTATAACCTGCTGCCTCCAATGTCCCAAGTGAAATGATGTTCTTCCTCAGTTGAGGAACAAATCTCACATCAGCCAACTCCCGGATCATCCCGTCACTCATCCGAATCTGAACGGTACCAATACCACCAATAGGGCATCTGTGATCATTACCCATGAGAACAACATCCCCTCTTTCTAACTCCTGAAAGCTGGAGAACCAATCCCTTTTAGGGCATATGTGGTAAGTAGCACCAGAATCCAACATCCACTCGGTGGAGTCGGCAACATCAACTGACGGAAGAGCTGGGCACGAATAGCCCGAAGAATCTGAATCTGAAACATCGCCACTAGCCTTGGCAATATTCACCTCTGAAGCTTGAATAGCTTTCCCTTTATTCTTCACAGCTTGCAATTTTGGGCATTCGGCTTTCCAATGTCCATCCTCTCTACAAAAGGCACACTAATAGACTGCGACCTCCTACCACGGTTTGGACTTTTAGCTCTTGCAACCAATGCCCCCGCAACCGGCTCAATGGAAGTCTCCTTGTCCTTCTTTTGAAGTTGATAGTTCACAAGGGTTGCGATGACCTCACTATACGAAAGAGATGCCTTCCCATTAATAAGAGTAAGGACGAAGGTCTCATATTCCTCGTCGGGCAAGGAACTCAGTAACAGCAATGCTTTATCCTCATCTTCAACAATGACATCTACGTTTGCCAAATCTGCAAGTAGCTTCGTATAGTGGTTCATGTGATCACTAATGGATGTCCCCTTCTTTAATTGGAAGCGATAAAGCCTCCTCTTCAGATGCAAACGATTTTCGACGTTCTTTGTTAAATATTTTCCCTCTAGGACCTCCCAAATCTTCTTTGCCGAAGTCTCATTCATCACATCATATTTTAGATCTTGGGTAAGACAAGACCTAATCACACCACATGCCGTTCTATTCATTTTATTCCAAACCTTATCATCCATGTTGTCCGGTTTCCCGTCCAACTCCAACGTATCTTTCAAATTTCCAAAGTCCAAAATTATTTGTGTCGTTGAACTTTTCCACATCTATTTTCATAGAATGTATATTCAAACTTTGGACGGCCTTCACACTAGAATAACCCTCCCCATGTTTATCCTTTCCGGCCATATATCTCAAAGCACCCAAACAATTGCGGAACAAACAAGAAATAGATCCAACTTGAAAAAGATAGAAACTTTACCATAAAGATCCCATATTTATCACCAATTGAAGCTCTAGATGAACTTCCCAACTGATCTATACCTCCAAAAAGCCCAAGCGTTGCCCGGAGCTCTGATACCACTTGTTGTGCCTTAAGAAACCAAAACAATCGCCGAGAAAGATAAAGAACCACACCAAACAATAGCACAAACACAATCAACACCAGTTTTACGTGGTTCGGCGAGATGCCTACGTCCACGGGGCAAGGAAGGGGGAATTTTCACTATTAGAAATCAAGGGGATACAACTAGGGTTACAAATCTCTCACCAAAACCCTCAACAAATCACTATTGATCTCTCCCAATTGCTCCAACAATAGAATCCCAAGAACTCACCCTCAATGGCTGCTAAAACCCCTTGCATACAAACCCTAAAACTAAGTTTGGGTATTTATAGAAAACCCAAACGAAACGGGTCTGGAAAACAGACCAGCCCAAAACCGCTTCGGCGGTCGACCGGCGTGGTCGACCGCCCTCCATCCTGCCGCCATCCGAAAAATCCAGAGAGTTCGGCGGTCGACCGCCACCAGAGCAGAAACATCTGCGGTCGACCGCGCCGGTCGACCGCCACCACCACCGAAGCCCAGTAAGCCTCGTGCACGAATGCGGTCGACCGCGCCGGTCGACCGCCACCCAATCCGCTGAAACGTGAACTATTCTGCCAATTCTAAGGGGGGTGATGGGGGCAGTAAGTGAGGAAGAGGGGGAGGGCTGAGAATCCGACCGTGAAGTTGAGGGTGAGGCAGCAGGAGCGAGAGTCAATGGTGGGAGTGGGACATGCATGGTGAGCATTTTGAGTATTGTTTTGGGTAGAATGGGGATTTTGTTGATAATAAATAAATAATGGGGATTGAAGGTGAATGATGGAATTGTGGAAAGAAGCGAAGGACGGTCTCATTTTCTTGTCACCCTGAGCTTGACTTGTCGACTGAAATGAGTCTGGCGTTTTTGTTGGAATGTTTCGGTACAGAGCGTCTTCAGCATTTTCCAAACAGCAACACGCATGGAGATGTTTTGAGTCTACCGTATTTTCTCACCTCTTGTACTTATTATTTTTGGCACATAATTTTTAAGTTTCATCTCATGACTACAGTGCAGATATAAAGGTTTCAGAGACCATTGACGTGTGTTATAATCAATTCTTGAACAAATTCCCCTTCAACTATTTCCCACCAGATCCAACAGCTCATGTACGTACATACGAGATTTGGATTTTATTCACTGCAGCGAAAAAAAAAAAGAGAGGGAGAGACCACTTTATCAATCATAAATTGTTGATTTCTATATTGGACGGTTGTGATTCATTTTACATATAGTTCTCACCAATACCCCATGAAAGCACTTATTTATGATTTCCATTTATATACATATCACAATCATTCATCAACCAATTATACCGTTGTAATTGAAGTAGTGATCGATCTCTCAACTATTTTCTTTTAAATAGTGGAGAGTATCTGTTATCCATATATAAAAGGTAGTCATCAAGCAATCAAGACCAACATCGTGCCAAAAGAAAAACTGCCGATAGCAAAATAATCAAATTCGCATTTCTAAAGTCCAACATGACACACAGATACTAAATTTCCAAAAAAAGAAAAAAATATCAATCATCCGGAAACTAAATTCACACTAATTCCCTAAAACAATAATCAAGAACTCACTGTCCCTATTTTTTGTAAAATTATTCAGTAGTCTCTGTCCACTCGAAGAACCGCTGAATTACTCCTAATTCTGTGCTCTGTGCATCTTGATCTTCTTCCTCCTCCCTGATATTTTCCCGCCAAAGCCGACACTAATCCCAGCCTCCACATCCATCCAATGCCACCTACTCCTCCACAACCATATCCTATACCTCACCGCTGCCACCAACTCTACCCTCAACCTCACCCTCCTCCTCCTCTCAATCACCTTAACAACCTCATCCCACTCTCTACCACCACCAAACACTTCCCCCGAAACACTACTACTCTTCTCATGCCCCTGGTCGAATGCCTCCAACCTCGTGGTAGCTATGCTAGCATTTCTTGAATAGACGGTGATGTTGATTTTGTCGTAGTAGACTCTGCCTCGTTTGTTGTCGTTGGAGAAACCGATGGAGAAGGAGATGGAGGATGCGTTGTTGCTGGTGGTGGTGTCGATAGAGAAGTTGGTGAGGGTGAAGGATGGGGAAGAGGGACGGAGAGCGAGCCAGAGGAAGAAGAGGAGGAGGAGGGAGAGGATTATGACTTGAAGGAGCCAGAGGTAGAAACTGTGTGCAGGGCGTCTAGACATTTAAAGTTAGTTTTTTTTTTATTGGTTTGATGTTGGAGATGACATTGGAGAGAGTTTGGAGTTTGAGAATAAAATGGAGAATGATTGTGTGTTGAGGGGGAGAGAGAGTTTGGTTTGAGGCTGGGGGTGATATGTGAACGTGAGAGATAATTTGGGGCATAGTTTTTGGTGGATGCAACGGACATGGTGATTATGGCAGAGGAGGTTTTGTAACTGCCAAGGAGTTAGGGTTGGATGATTGGCTCGTTATTGGGCCCATTACTGCGGCAGTTATGGATGCCTACATAAAGTGTTGAGAAGTGAATTAGCTCTCATTTTCTTTTTCGATACTAGTCTTTAAATCTTTGAATTAGTCCCTCAAATCATTGAAATTGCTTGAGGGGTAGGTACCCCAATTGTTAATTATTTAAACGGTTTTTCTATAGAGTACCTATGGGCACTCTATAAGGGAGGAGAGAGATAGAGAGAAATGAATAAAGAGGGGGCCCACCCTAATTTGCATTGGGATCCCCTCCTCATACATTTCTCTCTATCTCTCTCCTTTCTTATACAGTGCCCATGGACACTCTATAGAAAACCCGTTATTTAAAATTAATTCATAAAATTATTGAAATTGCTACTAGGTCTCCTAATTCTCGTAAATTGTTTCAAATTAATCTCTATATTTGCCACCTCTGCTCTTGATTGGAGTCATGATATTAAAGATCTTCGAAGTGTTTCTATCTGGGGAACTAAAACACATAATAAAACTATCGCAGGAAAGAAACATAGGATTACTATCTAATCATAAAGAGAAATGTTCTTTAATGAGGATATTAGTTAGAATCAGAAGTGGATTAGCCCCCATTGTCATACACCTCCCTACGGACCCTACCGAAACAGAGATTTTCACAGTCAAAGGTATTTA